TTGATATTTAATTATCAGATGATTTTACTCATCAAGATGAGTGTTGGTTATTGAAAGGTTAATAATTAACTGCAAAAGCTGCTGTGTTTGCATATTTAGAAGCAATGTGCCCTACTTTTAGTACTTTGTTATTTTATTAAATATTTATTCAATTAATGTGCCAGACTCTCCACTTAACAAATATAATTGTCTGTCATTAGACATATAGTAAAACATAATGATTTGGCATTTGGCAGAGTAAAGTTGTCTTCTGTTAGACAGAGTAAAATAATAAATTTGGTGCAAAAATGCTTGATGGAAATTTGGCTGCAGAATATAGGGTATAAATTTTCTGTCAGTATAATCATTTTTGTCAAATCTGGCAAAATCTTGACGTTTGAATTATTTCGTCCTGCAGATGATAGAAGTTGTAGAAGGATCTGTCATGTTCTGGAATTGCCAACAGTGGGCATATTGCTCTGCAAGATTTTCTAATGAAGGCCCTACACCAAGTCAGGTGATATAAAAAATAAACATGAAAAGTGTAGAAGCCAGGCATCCACAAAGAGTTTGAATAGTCTGTAGTCAAGCCCACAAGTTGAGAGGACTGAGGACATTATAGATACCGATACATTTAATATATAGATCAATAAGCACTTAGCAATTGACATTATTGCATGTTTGTATATATAGTTATACCATGGTAATTTAGTTAGACAAGCTTTGCAAGTTCATTAAGAAATAGTAAATTAGTTAGCAATTTTGTAATTTGTTTATTTATTAACTATGTTATTTATTTGTGTATTGTGTTTTTGTAGATTTTTTGCATGTTAATAAAATTATGTATGCCACCAGTACAATTTTCTTGAGCTGTAGCAAGTATATTTGGAATGGTATGGCCACTTGTTTTCATCCCATACCAAACCCACATGTGTTAGCATCTAGCATTTGGATGTTAGATATTAACATGGGTTTGGTATGGGATGAAAACAAGTGCCCATACCATTCCCAATATAATATGATAATTGTTGCACCCATACCATTCCCATAGTTTATACATCAAGAACCATATGAATTCCATATCAGGTTCCCAGATCATTCCCATATAGAATCCTATCTTACCCATAGCAAAGTTGTTATGAAATGATATAAGGAACCCATGTATTTCCCATAGTAAGTCATATGGGATATGTATGGATTTGTACCAAATACGTATCAAACCCATATCAAAAACATGATATGGGTATACTATGAAGGCAACCAGGCCATACCAAAGCCATATACTTCCCATATATGGCCCATAGGTTGAACCATATCAATCCCATAGTTGGTCCATATATGTCCTATATAATTTGGTTTTGTAAGGGTTTAGCTTCGAAAATGCCGACCAACAATAGGGCGCTAATAGGCGGCGTGCGCGCGGCCAGCATAAAATCCCATAAAAATAATATTCCATAAAAATAATATTCCATCGTTCAGAATGTCAAAAAGTACGGTCGGATCTAGGAAGACTGGGACCTGCTGATTAATTTGATACTAAATTTATGAATTTTGGAGGGAACTTCGTATGGCAAATCGCGATTCTTCGAGAGTTACTTTGCATATTCATCGCTTGAAATGAATTATTCACTAAGCCGTGCCTGGTTTACTCTCGTATTAGCATTAAAGCTAACTATTTTGTTGGAATTGTGTCCATCTGCTAATGCAAATCCCAATGGCAACGAAGATAACGAAAGTTATGGAGACGAAAGTATGCATAGCGAATTTCCATCATTTCAGGCCCAAATAAACAAGTAAGCTTTACATTGTTTGTGTTCTCTAATACATTGTTTTACATAAATATGGCCATATTTAATACTGTACATTCCTGACTGTGTTTATAGTCTCAGAAAATGGGGACATACATTTCTTTGTATATTTACTGTATATGTTATGATGAGAGTGCATGAACTCTCCAGATCTAGACGTATAATTGTTCAGTATCAATATGAAGCAAGTTATTAATATAACCCAGATATTCCAAATATTACCCAGGTTATAATAAAGATGTGTCCACAAGCAGACAGAAGGGAATAATCAACAAATGAAATGATCATGCCCTCATTTATTCCCTCCTGTCTGGTGGACACATCTCTTATTTCTTGCTAATGGCCTAATACTTTTTCTGCATTCTCACATTCTGCCTTAGTGAAAACATGTCACTGCACTGTGCTTATATCCAGATAGTGGTGCATTGGCTTTTAAACAAAGTGCACCTTTATGCAGGGTAATATGGTAGAGCAAATACATGCATGATAACAAGTCAGAAAAAGCCAATATCAGTCTTGTACCGTCATCCTGGCTTAGTTAAACAGTCATCCTGGCTTAGTTAAAGATGCGGTACAGTCCGATCTGCGCATGTGCACAAAGGAGCCCTCTTTTTACTTACAAACAGTTTCTTTAGGTTTTTATTTCATTTTATGTTCTTGCAAAGCTTGATTGTTGTGTCTTGATAATTATTATACTCTAGAATCATGAAAATATAAATAGTTGTTGAATAAAATTCAATATTTTGGATACCGAAATGTAAACAAAGCCTTTGTTTACATACGGACTGTGCCACATCTTTAAACCATGGCCACCTAGGTAAACTGCACTTATATCCAGATAGTGGACATTTAACCCATTATGTGAAATTCTGCCCGCTTTACTCTTTTCCTCTTAATACCTTGCATTAATTGTCATGGGAAAAGTCTTAGATTAAATGAGGTGCACCTTTATTGAAGCAGGCTAATAGGGTATTATTAGCAAATCCATGCTAATAAGGGACTGGTCATAATTTAGCAGTGGGGAGGTGGAAACAGTGGGAGGGGGGTCACATATTTTATAGCAAGGCAAAAGGGGGGTTCATAAAATATTAGACAGTTTATGAAGGCGGGGGTTGGGTATGCTGTTTTAGTTCAATTAATTGTTTATACACACCTTCTTACATTTTGTTTGAATTGCAAATATCAACATTTGAATTGATTCTTTTAAATTAAACTTAAAATGAAAAGGTAGGTACATCTTTACCAACACAAACAATACAGGGGGTGGCATTATTTTTCTGGGTTATGACAATGCAGGGTGACAAAATATCATGCCTTCAAATTTTGAATTACACTTCCCCACCTCCCCCCCCCTGCTAAATTATGACCAGTCCCTTAGAAAATCTATTCCCTCAAATTTATTATTTACAATATCCAGCAAACACAACCAGTATCAATCTTACCGAGAATTGGTCAGAGCTACACTCAGCTATTACTTTTTGTCTATGCAGCAAGATTCTTTATGAGTTGTACAAGTCCATGAAGAAAACACAAGCTGAATGCCCAATCTGGTCCCTCAAATGTGTCTGCCTTGAAGGAATTAATAATCAAGCAAGTGTGCAACCTAAGTGGACTTCATGGTATTATTATAAATAATAGAATAATTAATGAATTTAAAACTAAATTTTGGAGATTACAAAAACCATGGCTAAGGCAGCTGCTAAAGGAGAAAATTCAGCAAAAAGGCTGTTATCAAGATGGACAACTGGCAGATATTCCACATGGAACTTTAAGATATACTATAGTGAGCTGGAACCAGAAAGGTTAAAGCAGGATAATCATAGACAGATTGCAGAGAAAAGGAAGCTTGAGGAAGATATGGATGTGATGAGGTGCAAGAAGGCAAAAATTGAAGGGAAGTTGAAACAAGCTTTGGCCAAAAATAAAAGAATTGCTGACCCTTACAAGAAAAAATTTAAGGCATTAACAAAGAAATTGATACGGCAACAAAGAAAGCAGAAGACATCAAGAGGTCTATCGAAATCAAAAACCTTTTTTGAGTACAGCAAACGGCAACAATCTAGAATCCGAAAGCAAATGGTTGATGACTGTGAAACTTCTTTGGCATTCCTAGGTCTTCATAATTTTGTAGCAACAAAGGTCGAGGTTTACAACGAGAATAACCAGGAATATGAAACAATCAATTTGGTAAATAATGAAGAAATTAGCACCTCGTCTCACACTGAAACACACTCACTAATGAGGAACTTGATGACATCAATTTGTTATTGTACACAAAAGAATGGTTTAATCTCTCAAACGATGCATATCATGAACTGTCCATGACATGCAAGGAGCTACCCAGGTCATGGAAAGTCCAGGAAAGGATCAAGGCATTATAACTCTAAATGGAAACTCAGCAAGACCCCTGGAAATACTTTTGGCATTCAACAAAGCATTAAAGAGACACTGGAAGTTAGAGTGCAAAATATGATAAAAAACAGTCCTCCTACCGAGTCCTTCCAACAGAATAAGAAAATTCGAGTGAAGCTATCAGGAGATGCGACCAATGTTGGAAAAAGGCTTCATGTTGTGAATGTTACTTTTACAATTTTGGATGAAGGCTCAAAGGCAATGTCAGCTGATGGAAACCATATAATTGCTATCATCAAAGAGCCAGAAAACTATGAGAAACTTCTTGAAGCGCTGTCAGATATCCGTAGAGAGGTGGAATATCACTTAATTGCATGAAGGTTGGGGACGAATACTTCAATATTGAATGGTTTTTAGGTGGTGATTGGAAATTCCTGGCATGCATTTGTGGCCTTGGTGCAGCAATCTCCACTCATCCTTGTATCTGGTGCAAATGCCCTTTGTACGACAACTATGATGGAACCAATGAATGGTCAATGGTAGATACCAATAAAGGTGCCCGGACAATCAAGGAAATTGAAGAAAAATCTAAGCAAGGATCCCGGGGAGAAAAGTGCAATGTAAAACATTCCCCTTTATTCCCTACAATACCCCTTGATCATGTTGCCATTGATAGCCTACACCTTTTCCTACGCATAGCAGATAATTTAATCAATTTACTAATTTTAGAGTTTTGGAGACTAGATGCTATTGACAAAAAGAAAACTTTCAATGATGGCTTTGAGCGATCCAAATACACCCATATGGCTTGGATGGGAATCCTGAACAACATAGCAGAAGTCTCCATTGACATTGATGATTCTTTCAAACCATTTGCTCCCCAAAATTTGACACATGTCACTGTTATTATTTAATGCATGCACATTTTTGCCCCATTTCTTCACCACACCAATATTCTGAAGATAGTTGTTGTAAATGTCCGCATCAATTCGTTCTTCGATTCGTACATCGGGTGACTCTCGCTTGCTGGAATACAACGACGCTTTAACCGTCTTTCCTAAGGTATAAAAGAAGGCTGAAGCCCTATCTGGCAGAGTTAACACTTGGCTCAAAGCGTTGTGTTAAACGGCCAAACTTCCTAGATTGTTCGCCATTAGATACTTCAGTAGCATCTCTCCACTCATCAAACTCACTAGAGTATCCAGTGTAATGGATTTTTACTTTATTGGAACACTTGTCTCTGTCAATAATCTATAAAAACAAGTTAATATAGTATTTAGGAAATGTGGATATTTATATTCAGATGAGAATGCAACGAAACTTCACTGTAAACGAAATTAGGACATGTACTTACTTCAATAGGATACAGCTTGTCCTTCTTAACTTTTTCTTGTTTTGGCCGTATTCGCTCCGCTTTTATTGCTGTACCACGCTCTACGCTTCTATAAAATCCTTTCTCATGCCTAGCACGCTTTGCTGTCGCCATCTTGAATTCCTTGATTTGCGCTTCGTCTAATCTGAGGTCTGAGACCAAATTTACTGATTTTACATGCTTGACAGATGTGAGCATTGTATCATGCTGGATCAAATCCAAGAGCTCTAATCTAGTAATCTCTTCTATGGATTTATTTGCACCACCCAATACTTTAGCACATGTTTTGTCCCATTCCGTGTCCATAGTGTTAATTATAGACATCAGTTCGTGCTTTCCCATCAACAACCTGTGGTGCGTAGCTGAAGTGTCAGCCTCCTCTTTCTTATCTTTCCGAATCTGGTCCAAGAAATTAGGAAAGTCAAAGGTTTGAGATTTAAGGATGATGAACTTGCTTGTACAATGGGTAGAAATGGGCACATCTACAATATACACAGATAGACCATGTTCAGGGTGTAGAAGCACGTCTCTAAACGTCGTTTTATCCACATGGCCTGTTTGATGCCCAAAAAAGATTTCACAGGCAACATCAAATCTATTATACCCTTTAAAATCGTCATTATTTTTATCTTTTGGCTGCTGAAGGTGTTCCAACACTTCAAGTAGCCCTTGCAATTTGTTTCTTTTCCCCAAAAGCCTTGTTCTTCTCACCTTGTTCTTCTCCCTTTTCTATATAGAATGACTTGAATACCATTGCAGAAATATCTAGCAAGGAAGATCTACAGGAAATGGGAATTTCTTTACTTGGAGAAAAGCTGATGCTTATGTCGAAGATATGGGACGGGAGCTGAAAGGGAAATGGCAATGTATTTTTTTTTAATTTCTCATTTGAAAGAACAATTGAAACTATATATTAACTTCTTTTACCATTTTTTCATATCTTGCTCAGTTCTTGAATTATTTGCACTTGAGGTAATCAGATATCCGCCATCTTGGATAAATTTTTTATCTCATTAACGGCAGTTTTGGTGACATCACAACAGGGATTAACCATATAAAAGTACTTGTTGCTGACCAAATATTGATTGGTAGATGTGTCAAAGGTTTTGAGTGATCTTGATATTTCGCAGGGCAGACAGAGTATAGTTTTGAGTGCAAAATGATTAGTGGTCGTCTAGATAAAAATATTGCGTTACCCCTGTTGTGACATGACATGCATATCTACAAAAATTGAAGATGGCGGACACTTCATTCCTTTCAATCAAAATATTTGTAGAAGTAAGCAAGATATGAAAAAACGGTAAAAGAAGTTAATATATAGTTTCAAATGTTCTTTCAAATGGGAAAATAAAAAAATATATTGCCATTTCCCTTTAAAACAGCACTTAACCAAACCAAAAATATGAGCTATAAAACAGTAACACAGATGTTCTTATGTCTCGCAAGAAACAATCAAGTATGAATGATTACAGTGTGAATTCCATATTTGTTTTAATATATTTTGCGTATGCGTTACTTGACCAACAAAATACGAAAAGCCATGTCATCATTGTCATCAAGCATGCATGCTTGCAAGCCTTGCATGCTTCTATATAGAATGACTTGAATATATTAAAAATACGAATCTGTCTTTATATTCAAAGTGATTGTGAGCTAAGCCGGCAAGCAGATATGGTCTAAAAATTTTTTATAATGTATTACTAAAACTATAAAATAAAGAGAGAGGTCTATTTTAGAACTTGCAGAAATATTTTTATACAGATCTAAATTTACATTTTATTTTTTATTCTAAACTAGCACTTCCTTGGGCTCCACCCTCCAAATTGCCATCGAATATGGCTTTTTCAAGCAATGAAGCCTATTCCAAGTACCTTTACAAGGACCCCAAGAATGAAAGGACAAAGTACTTCAATGCTATATTGCCAGACATCTACAAGCATGCTCATCCGTTCCTTCTGGGGGTTTCTCTAAATACCTTTACACAGAAATAGAGAAAAGGTTTCAGAGAAAGAAGCCAATTGAAAAGGTCACTCATAATGTGGATATGCTTTTTGCCGAAAACAATGAGGCTTCTTGCTTCAAATTCTTGAGCATGAACTCATCAGTACTAAAACGTAATAATGCTGAAATTGCACCCAAAGGTGTTGCCAAATTAGAAGAATTTAGTATGTAAGCTGGAAAAAGAGGAAGAAGAAATTAAGTCTAATTTGGCAACACATTTTGACAAGAATAAACTGAAAGCTTGGGCTATTGAACAGCATCAGTACTCTACAGCGATACTGGAGGAGGTTGATCAACTGAGAGCAAATGTTCAGGAAAAATTAGAGAAGTTGCTCAGCGTGAAGAAGAGTTTTGATCGGGTATTCAAGGGCATACCATTAGTAAATAAGAAAAGCGTCAAGTCTCGAAAACAGAAGGAAAATAGAAATAAGCAGGAGAAAAGAAAGAGAAAGCGTCTAAACAGAATCCAAGAAGAAATAAAATGCAAGATTGTTAAACTAGACTCGTCTAGTGAAAGCAATCAGTCTGGTATTAATATTTCAAAGTCAATGCTTCAGTTGGATGAACTAGACAAACTGAGGGCACACAGACACAAAGCTGGACTAGTAGCACTTGTAAAAAATGGGAATTGGGATCCAGATGCAAGGAAATGTGTACTTGCAAAGAGTACTGAATGGGAGTTAGAAGAAGGATGCTCTAAAGATGCCGAAGAACAAGATGATGAGCAAGATGGAGGGGAAAGTAATGAAGAAGAGTGAGATGTTGGAAAGTGAGGGAGAAATGCTAGTATAAGGAAAGGAAAGGAAGAAACAAGTGTGTAAAATAAAAGCATATAAAAAAATTATTTGCAATTCATATTTCGCTAAAGTTGAATGGTTAATTTATATGCAATTAGGTTTTATAACTGTTTAATTAATAAAAACCAACATTATAGATTTAATAGTTAATATATACTAGGGGAACTAGGTATTTTATACATGGTTTAATTTAGTATTAAAGTACATGATGTGTGCTATAGTAGAAAATACACTGAAACTGGATTCTAATTTTTAATTGAGAATTTTTTATCAAAATTCTTCTGGCCAGTCCAAATCACTCTTGTAGCAGAGTTTGTTCTGATTATTAAAACAGGCATGTTGTTGAAAGCACAAGTAAATGTAGATCTGATGCCTGGTCATGTGCCTATGTATATATACATTCATTTGGTGGTGGTGGTGGTGATGGGGGTTACTATTTTTTAGAACTTATGTGAAGGGGTCATTGAATTTTTTTGTGATGCAGGGGGAGACAAGACATTCTGTTTAGTTATTAATTTAATTTTGCCAGCCCACCCCCAGTCATAAATACAATGAATGGTCCCTTATTTACAGTTGTTTTTCTGTCTAAAGAAACAGTAATACAACTGTAAAATAACAGTATTTTTTCTATTTAACAGTTTCTGTTAATTTACAATAAAAAGTACTGGCGCCCAAGCTGCCACTACCTTTTACTGTAAAAAAAACAAAGGAGCAATATATATGTGTGTGTGTGTGTGTGTATGTGTATGTATGTATGTGTATGTATGTATATGTATGTGTATGTATATGTATATGTATGTGTATGTATGTGTATGTGTATGTATGTGTATGTGTATGTATATGTATATGTATGTATGTATATGTGTATGTATGTATGTGTATGTGTATGTATATGTATGTGTATGTGTATGTATGTATATGTATGTATATGTATATGTATGTATATGTATATATATATGTATATGTATGTATATGTATATATATATATATATATTTAACAATTATACCATGAGCTTGAGTCGTATATGAGCTGATAGCCGACGAGGTGCGTAGCACCGAGTCGGCTATCAGCCATATACGACGAGAGCGAATGGTATAATTGTTTTATAATATAGTCTAATATAGCCATTAACTGAAGCAGTAATTAATTATTCACTGTTACAATGTGTTGACAATTTGTTCGGCCTAAAACCGCTTGAAAATTTGAAATACGTTTGTTTTACAACTCGAAGACGAAGTGAAAGAAATGGTTTTAGAACCTCTATATCTCACAGGAAAGCTCAGATATATTATACAGATATTTGGTACTATAGTAAGTGCTTGTTGACTGCAAATTCATTTGTCGTTCATTGCAAACTTTTCTGAACAATTTATATTCTCAATGAACATGTTTTTTCGCTGTTGTTTTGGTATTAATTCTTTGAAAAACTTGTATTTAAACTAATTTCTACGTAATAAATGTATTTTGCTAACCTGTCAAATTTTTTTGAGAGTTTATCCTTGTACTATTATGTTTCTCAAAGCGAATATTTTCCTTTTTCTGCTAGCTTCGCAAAGCTCGTGTAGTTTTTGGACCGCCATCTTGTTTTTCGCTATTCGCTACTAATTCAACCAATCAGATTGCAGAACAGCTCATATACGGTGGATGACTATATTATAAATATATATATGTATATGTATATGTATATGTATATGTATATGTATATATGTATGTATGTATGTATCTATATATGTGTATGTATATATGTGTATGTGTATGTATATATGTGTATGTGTATGTGTATGTGTATATATATGTGTATGGGTATATGTATAGGTATATATACGTATATATATATGTATATGTATACGTATATGTATACGTATATGTATACGTATATGTATACGTATATGTATACGTATATGTATACGTATACGTATAGGTATACGTATAGGTATATGTATAGGTATACGTATGTAGGTATACGTATGTAGGTATGTACGTATGTACGTATGTAGGTATGTAGGTATGTAGGTATGTACGTATGTACGTATGTCCGTATGTCCGTATGTCCGTATGTACGTATGTCCGTATGTACGTATGTACGTATGTATATGTATATGTATGTATATGTATGTATATGTATATGTATGTATATGTATATGTATATATATGTATGTATATATATGTATGTATATATAT